ATTTGTGACGGATAAACACCTTTTCTTCCAGTAGCTCTGCAATTGCTGGCCCTGATTGCTCAGCCAACAGTCCTGAGTCCTGTAGCCCATTTTTCATCAGATATCCAGGAACTCCAACATCTAGTGCAGATCTTGTTAATCCAGGCGACATCTGAGCCGGTATGGCTTTCTGAAATTTACATTTCCACATTTTTTTATGGGAGAGACACTCTTTGTCTGACTCCTCTGTTGAGTCCTGTCCAGTATAGTTGAACCTCTGGCATAACTCTGGTCTTCCTCGGAGCACACAAGCCACACAACTACATCAAGGTAGTGCCTCACTGGGGTATTATTATTATTATTTCAAAATAAAAGACACAACAATTCAACAAAAAAATAAACAAGTCACGTAGATCATATTTTAGCAATGCATATGAGCTTTTTTTAAAAGGATCGTTTTGATTTGGTGCTGTACTAAAAAGAAAGCAAAATTATCATGCAAAGTCAAAATATCAGCAAAAAGAAGGCACTCTCTTTTACTTATTTGATTTATACCTCACCTTTCATTAAGAGGTCAAGATAGCATACTTAGTTCTCCCTTTTATTTTTCCCCACAACAAACCTGGAAGTTGGGTTAAGATTTTCTGGTGAGTTTCCATAGCTGACAGTGAAATAGATCCCAGGTGTCGAGAACAAATACCAACATTGCTGCATTGTAATGATTCTCTTTTGAAAATGTGGACCTTGTTTCTCTGTTAAGCTATTGAGGGAAGGGGAACCTATAAGAATGGGAGCCAAAACTATTTAATGTAAGCTAGTAATCAGCACTTTTTATTGATTTGGAAGCAAAAAGAAGCCAGATGCCTCTGTAGCTTGAATACCTATCCAGAAAATACTATGATGGATGAACCATCAAGGAAAATCGCTGGGTATTAAAACTCTATACTTATTTAAACAGATGTTCTATAAATAGAAAGGGTATCTTCAAGAAGAACAATAATAAAGCCTTGCTTGAACTCCATCCTTTAAATTGGGTCCCCAACCCCTGGTCTGTGGACTGGCACCGGGCTGCAGAATGCCAGAAACTGGTCCACACATACAAGCAAAGCCCCATCTCTGGGATGCAAGCAGTACATGAAACCACGCCCCCTCCGGTCCATGGAAAAACTTCTCTCCACGGAACCGGTCCCTGGTGCCCAAAAGGTTGGAGACCACTATTTTAAATAATTACCCAAACCTCAGAAATGATTTTCTGGTGAGCAGATAAATCTCTGTTTTTTTCTTGAAACTTGATGGAAGTGTAGTATACTGGATTATGCTGCTCCACCTTTTTTGTATTATTAGACTGGATTTTCACTATAAACTCAGCACATAGCATTATGACCATAGAACAAAAAGGAACATGATAATTCTATAATGCAGATGCAGTTGGAATTAAATATTGGATTAATCTACTTACTGTAAGAGAAAGGACCTGCTTTATAACAATAAGAATGTTAACAAAGGAAGTTCTAATTGCAACATATTAGCAAACTGTGCATTTCTTACAATGTTATGCTGCCCACTGTATCTGAATTTTTTTTCTTGTTCTGTGACTAATCCTGAGGATTTTTTTTCATGACTCAGAAAACCTATTGTTCTATTTCGAATCTGACTTTATAAAGCAAGTATATCACATCCCCCTGTATCATGGACATCTGAAATTTACAGAATCTTAAGAGAAGACAGTCAGATAAATTGTGTCCAAGGAAAAGACCTCAGATGGAAAGAGATAATATTTGTCCTCATTAAGGCTCCAATATAGCAATCTTGATTATATAACCAGTTTCTCCAAGAAGGTGGCTGCAGGTTCTAGCACTTCAAGGTGTTTATTCCAGCTTGCAATCCTTTCTTCCTTCAGGGAGGTTTCATTTTATTTCATTGCCATTAAATGGGAAATCTTTTATCATTGTGCCTGGTTTGGAAGAACTGCCTTTGTCCATTTCTCTGTTGTTGCTTTTGAATCTGAAGTGAAAAAAGCCAATCTTGTTTTCAATTTTGTTTTTGTCAGTCATCATTGTATACTTTGTTCTCTCAGTTCATGTTCTGTAATAGTAAGTGAAAGTCAGTAAAAGGCTTAGGATACGTTACACTTCTAATACAGATAGTTGTTTTTAAGGCATACTTGTGATCAAACAAAATAGTAGTTTTGGACTAGTTCTAATTACTGTTGTGTTTGGTTGACTGTTATGATTAAGAGCAAAGGGGCAGGCATAATACCAAAGGCATGTATTAACTCTTCTAGGGTTAATAAGTGTTCATAACCTCCCCAGATGGTTACTGTAGTGCACTGACTTTACCAGCTGGAACATAAATCTTCTCATTTACTTTTTCAGAGGCATTCTGCAGCTGGATTTGCACATTATGCTAAACTGTGGTTTGTTTAAACCATGATTTGTAGAAAAAATCATAATGGTTAGATACGCACAACACAGGTGTGCCAAGTTGAACAAATGATGTGGCAGACTGAAATGTGCAAATCAGATTTTATGTCAGTCACTTTGTCTTAGCTCAACCTAACTCACAGGGCTGTTGTATGAGAAATTGGAAGAGGGAGAAACTTAGAGAACAAAGTTCTCAAAAGGAGGCATCATATTAAAAAAAATTATCACTTTGGGTATTCTACAGTAATCAAACTGTTAATTTCACAATAGCAACTGTATAAGGAGAGCAGTAATATGTTTCATATTATTGACTTCTGATGCTATTTTGGCAACATTTTATACCAGATGCAGTTTCCAAAGATTTTTAAAGACAGCCCTATTGTTACAGTACATTAATTTGTAAAACGTGGCCAAGTCCACCATCTGCAGAAGAGGCTATGCTTAAAGCCCCTCTCTTAGTAACATAACAGCAGTCTTAGCTACTGTTGTCATTGTGACATTCAGGGTAAAGGGAGACTCCCAAACAGTCTATCTGATTTTTCTGAAGAAGCTAAAGTTCAAAAGGACTCTGATAGCACACTTTCAGATTAACACATATTACTAAGATGTAAGCTTTCAGGAGCTACACTTTATCAGCATCTTGTCCCAGAAGACATATATATGGTATAAAGTTTTTTAAAAAGTGACTCTCTAAAGATATATTTGGGCTCCAGGCAGATCCCAGATCTGAGAAATATGAGATTGCTAATGAAATAGAGTAGCAGCCTTTAAATGAAGTTGTAAATATTATGGACAGCAGGAAAGATATTAATCAAACACTAGCTTTCTATTTTAACCTTACAGAGCTTATCTTCCACACTGGATCTGAATAACACAATATGGTATCATGTCATCCAGCTTTAATCCTCCAAAGTGGTCCAGGTGTTATAGTAAATAAACTTCAACTACCACTGTGTGTTTTGTGAAATAATTGAAGTTTCATTCTTTTCCAATTTAAGTGCTGGTTATTAACCAAGGCAGTTTCAGTCTTTATGCAACAAATCCTGAGATATTCTTATCAAATTTTACTAATCCATATGTTTTCTCAAAATGCAATGAACTGGTATTATATGTGTTGATAGTTGCAAGGATTCTATTCACTTTCTATTGGAAAACATGTTTGGTTTTCCTTAATGGAAAGAATAACCACCTACTTTAAAGAGGGGAAGCATCAAGGAGAGCTTTTATGGGGAGGAGGAGATAGAACAAAATAAAATTGAGAAAGAAATGGATGAGGAATTTTACAAGAAAAAAACCTAGTGAGATAATATCATTAGAGGATTTGGGGAGTAAATTGTAGACATAATTTCAAGGGGGAGGAATTTGGGAATGTTCCTTTTTATTACATTAAAATGGTGCTTTTATGACTTACACCTGTCTGTATTGTTATATATTAAATGATCAGTTTGTTCTTTTGAGTTCTTTCTGGAAATAAATCAGGATATAAATATTTAAATGACAAAAGCTAGGAGGTGATGGAGGATAGACTGTGAAATGTACTGAACAATGAAGAGCCAATTTGATATAACGTTAGACTAGAAATTGGGCAATCATGAATTCTAGTCCTGCTGTATATACAAAGCCAACTGGGTAAGCTTGGGCAGATTGTTCTGACTCAGAAAGGTGTTGGTAAACCATTTCCAAAATATTGCCAAGAAAATTGCAGGGACTTGTTCAAGCAGTTATAGGAGTCAACAAACTGAAGGATGAAGACAATAGTTTTAGAGTTGAATTCACATGAAAGAAAAATGGGAAACAAAATGGGGGGGGGAAAGGTTTATGTATAAGAAAAAAGGGAAATAAGATGAAAACCAATGAGCTGGAGTCAGCAAGAGTTATTCAAAGAAGAATGGAACATAAAAATAATGAGTAAGTCACAAAAGTTAACAGATCCTGAACACAGATAATTGAGAAACAGAAAGAGGAGGTGGGATTGCTTTCATTTCTGTCCAGGCATTTTCAGAAACACTTGGCTGACCACTGTAGGAATAACATTCTGAATTGGATTTGCTTTTGTCTGATCCAGCAAGTTTCTAGAAGAATTAGCAAAGGGCAATATTATGGAGCTGGATTAAGATCCCAACAGAATTTAGGAGACTAGTTATTGAAAGCGTTGTTTATTAAAAAGAAATTCGTAAAGAAAGGAGCTCACAATTTTTTCCTCCCACTCAATCTACTATCATTCATGAGGTCCTAATGTCGCTTACAGTGTCCCACAGGATTTCCAGCAGGTTTTCTACCTTGCTTGCTACCTAAGACTGAATTTGGGACTTTCCGTCCGTTGAGCACATGTATTGCTTCTCTTCAAAACCAGCTTCCCTCTCCCGAGCGCGGTCATTAACCCACCCACCTTGTATCCGGCCCCTCCCACACCTGCCCGTCGACTCGCCCTTCTAATTTGCGCGAAAGTTCCTTTCCGGCCTCCTGTGACCACCTGCTCTTCGCGTCTAATCAGGAGACTTGGTCGGTAAACACCATTCCAGGGCAGGGCGAAACTGGGCGTGGCAGCGGAGAGGTGACCGCGCCTCCTCAAGACGGTGTAGGCCATTCAGAGATCTGGAGGCGGGGTCTGTGTCCATGGGGACCAGGGATGGGCTCTGCCAAGCTCGCTGTTCACCCCCATTGTTCGCTGGAACTAGTCACTCGGAGCTGGGCGGAGTGGAGAGAGGCAAGCAAGGCGGTGGCGACGGGTCCGGCAGGTGGGTCTGCAGGGGGGGAGAAGGGCCAAGGAAGGGACCCCCGGGCAGGCTCTGAGAGGTCGTTTTGGAAGGGGGGGAGTGCGGGGCAGCAAGGGATGCGTTTTCTCTGGGGAAGTGGGCTGGGAGGACAGTCCCAAGTAAAGAAGTACGCTTAACGGGAATGGCGAGGGAAGACCCCTCCGGCTGAAGGAAGCTTTGGGCGCGGCCCCACAGCGGTGAAGTGGCATGCAGGGGGGAATTCGTGCGGGGAAAGGGAATAAGAGGCGAGTTGAGCTCCGCATTCCAAACTTATCTCCCCGCTTTCTACCATATGTCGAGGGGGTGATGTTTCCCTGTTCTCGGGAGGGGGGGGTGTCTTGGGGGAACGTGGAGCTCCGTGAGGTGGTTTGGAAGAAACAGAGGGTGGGTAAAAAGGAAGCGGCCCTGGGGGCGTGGGTAAAAAAATACGCCAGGGCCTGAATGAAATTCGGTGGGGTTTTCTCTGGAGTCTGAAGGGGAATGCGGGAACTTGTGGTACGGAGGCCTGTGGATAAACGGAGGGTAACTTGTTAGGATAGGACTGCGAATCGTTTGAAGAACTCGCTGATTGGTGGTTTGTGCTTTCAAGATTTTGGGAGCTGTTCTTGGGCCCAAGATGGTTTTGAAATGGTGGTGAGTGGAATGGGAAGCTCATGCCAATTTAGGTAGTTTTCATATGTGCTTATCGAGGCTGAAAGAAACAAGACTTTGGCGCAAGGGAATAGGAGAAGGTACTGGAAATGAGCTGTAATAGCGTCATGGAAATAGTAGCACAAAGACCATTTTGAAGTGGTAGGTGTGAGATAAGGTTGAGTGGGGCATTGATTCTAGCTCTGCAGAGAAAACCTTCAAGATGAGGTTTTTTTTTCAGTGAATCGTGATGGTGATATACATTCCAGGAATTGTTGAGTGAAGTTGGGCAGGGCAAAACATTATAGAATAAGGAAATGGAGAAAGGAAGACAGTAAAAGAGACCATTCTGATTAATAGAGGTAGAAAAATACTTGGAAATTTGGCACTGATCTCAAAAGATTTCTAGTTGTCAGTTGTTCTGCTTCTGTTTCAAGGACAGTGTTTTAAAAGATACCATATGTTTTGGCCCAAGAATAATATCAGTTATCAGTTTAGGGATTGAAATCCCATTGGCTTACTAGTTTATGGATTCAGTTTTTCTAACCATAATAGATATATGTCTACTCTTGAGGGACAAAATATGCCTGCTTTTTGCTTAGTTTTGAATTTGCAAGAATGAATTTGCAATTCAATAAAATATTTGTGTACATATTAAAAATAGATAAAATGGTTAATTGTTAATAATTAACATGTGTTAATTATGGGTGAATAGCATTGATAGGAAAAAGAATTGTGCATGAATGCTAGTTCATAGAAAAGTGTGCTGTGTGCTCATTTATGTGACTGATTTGTTAACAAAGGGTGCATACTCCTTGATTCTATACTTTGCTTTCTGAAGTGTGCTAATTAAATTTGGCTCTTGTTTGCTCAGCTTGAGCTATTGCATTTAGAAGTCTCATAATCCAGTTTGTCTCTCCCAGACACACCCTTCAATCTATGTTGTCCCAAAACGAATTGTTCTTTATCCTTCAGCCATTTTAATAGTTGTCTACTGTATTTAAAAAGATTGTAATGTCCTGAAGTATAAATACTATAATAAGTGGAATGAAGATAATGGCATATGGGATTTCAATTATATTTGTATGGACAGAATTTATTTTTAATCTGCAGGTACATTCTTAGATGTTTAGCTATTTTGATTATTGTTGCTAATTTAGTTCTTATAAATGAAATAAATAAAAAACTGATATAATTCATAATCTTGGCTAATGTGCTTAGATGTGTAACAAGCCTTTATTCCTTTAAAAGTTGCCTTTTAAAGACTCTCTAATCAGTTCATCAGAAATAAAATGTGATTAAAAACAAATCTTTGCTGGCCTCTGTGTAAAAGCTTTTAATTGACTAACGGGATTGCTTAGAAGTGCATTGCTGATTATGATAATACACATTGTTTGTTAGAATAGTTAATTACAGAGTACTATTTTTTCATTCAATATGCATATTTGTGATAATTCAGTAGTCAATATATAGACTCTCTAAAAATTAACTGGGTTATATGACTTTGAACAAACCTGAAGAGGGCCCTAATGGGCTGGGGAGAGGAGGGCAAAGATTACTGTGGAAATCTGTATTGCTAATTAAAATAGCCAACACCCAGAAGAGAAGCTCAGAATCCAAAAAGATCTTGACAGATTTGAAGAATGGGCCCTATTTAACAAAATGATATTTTAATGTGGAGAAAGTTTTACGCCTGGGCAGGAAAAACCAAAGGCACAAGTATAGATTAGGCGAAACCTGGCTCAAAAACAGTAACTGAGAGGGACCTTGGAGTCCTAGTGGACAATCACTTAAACATGAGTCAGCAGTGTGCAGCAGCAGCCAAAAAAGCCAATACAATCCTTGGTTGTATAAACACAGGCATAGAATCAAAATCACGTGAACTATTAGTACCACTTTATAAAACCTTAGTAGGGCCACATCTGGAATACTGCATCCAGTTTTGGTCACCACATTACAAAAAAAGATGTTAAGACTTTGGAAAAAGTGCAAAGAAGAGCAACTAGGATTATTAAAGGCTTGGAGACTAAAACATATGAAGAACAGTTGCAGGATTTGGGAATGGCCAGTCTAGAGAAAAGGAGTAGGGGGGACATGATAGCCATTCTAGTGTTTGAGAGGCTGCCACAAGAAGGAGGTGATCAATTTATTTTTCAAAGCACTAGAAGGCAAGATAATGGGTGGAAACTAATCAAGGAGAGAAGCAATTAAGGAGAACCCTCCTAACAGTGAGGACAATTAACCAGTGGAACAGCTTGCCTTCAGAAATCGTGAGTGTTTCATCACTTGAGATTTTTAAGAAGAGACTGGACAACCACATCTGAAATGATATAGGGACTCCTGCTTGAGTAGCAGGCTGGACTAGAAGATCTCCAAGGTCCCTTCCAGCTCTTTTCTCATTGATTAAAACACAAGGGAAGTTACAAAGAACAGTACTGTATTAGTGATTGCAACTTGATTTACACTCAATCACTACAAGAGAAGTGTAATTAGTTCTTGATTGTTTTTCAGTTTCTTGAGACTAGATTTGATTGTTTATGTTGCTTTTATGTAGCTATTCAATAACTATATGATGTTATAGGAGGTGATACATACGTAAGAATATGAACTAATTTCTTCCCATAATAACCCATTTACAGATAGTTAAAAAGGATTTTGTACATGGAATTGTGGATCATTGGACATTCAACTTTGTGTTCATTGCTCATACTTAAACTCATGTTTGGCTTCTGAAGCAGCTCTATTATTACTTCATAAATGAACCAGAATGCCAGACATTTTACTGCTTTGTCTGTGTACTGAGTGAGTCATATGGGAACCTTGGTGAGTTTCACAAGAGGGGGGGTAGTAGGAAGGAAAACTGATTCTCATGCATGCATTTTGTCATGTCTCTTCCATCTCCCTGCTTCCCAGCTATTTCCAGTGTAATAGCAATTTTTTTTTTTTTAAATGAAGAGTAGGGTTTCTGTGGAAATAGGAAGCACAACTTTATGCTTAGAAAAAAGGAAGTGGAACACTTGAAGCTAAAATTTTCTCTTGTTGGTTCTGCAGCAGACGTTCTGAAAGGAGCGAGGATTATTACTTTTAGCTTATAAATGTTCAATAACAGCTAAACTTGCAAGAGAAATTATATTTTATGGGTGGAAAATGAATTATTTTTAAAAAAGTATGTCAATCAGCAGTTAGATTTCTTTTTTCTGTATGAATTTTTATTTCCATTTATCCTTGTGAAAATCAAGGTTGGGAATCTGAAACTAAGAATGTTGAACTGAAAAATATGGAAATTGGCCTCACCTTTACCCAGTAACTGCAATCAATAAATTTTTTCTGTTTTACTTTTTTTGCTGTTTGCCCTCATGTACTATAGTGACATCAAATTGTATGGAACAGATATTCAAAAGTTAAGATCTATATTTATGTGTCTGATGTCCTGATTTTATGCAGGAAGGTTTTCATTACATGCAACTGAAAAGCTCCATCTTTCTGAGGGACTGCAAATTGTTTTCTCCATTCTGGAGACTGCAAAAAGAGTTGGTAGACTACACTGTCTGAATTCCTGTTCTAAGAACTTGAGTGGAAAAATCTGTAAAGATTCTGATTTCTATGTGAGTGCATAGGTATACTTATAGGTATATAAGTCAACTTAAAGTTTGCTTTTTTAGTTTGCTCATCTATCATAGCTGTTTTTTTAAAAAAATAAGAACTTATTTCATAAAAAAATAAAGTAGCTTCTCCCACATATTTTCTTGAAAGATATTATGTTTGAATTTGATATGCATGTTTAGCCATTCATTGCTTGGCAGAAGCTGATGAATTTGAACTGAAGATTCTATTCTTTTTCAGTTGCCTTTTAATCTTAGCAGAGGGTGAGGCAAAGGGTGTTCTAGTTACATTAGCCAAATGATTTGCTTAATTAATCAGCCTTGCAGCATAGATGAAAGGATAAGTGTGGGGAGTTGGCTTGGGAAAGGAGAAGCTGCTTCTAATAAAATACTGGAAAAAAAAAATAAGTGAGAGATCCAGTTCTGCTGTAAATTCAGTATAATATAATGTGTGTGGACATGTATATGCAAGCATTACATTGTCTCTTCTAGAAAGTACTGTATATTTTAAATGTGACTTCAACATCAGGCCCAGCCACTATATAAAAATATTTGCTTATATTTAACTAAATGCTATAATTAAATTTAGTTCAGAATTGGAAAGAAACTTGGGTGGGTCTTCTTACTGTTCCTTTCCTTTTTCCTTGAATGTTCCATTTAGTATCACTAATTAGATTGTGTGCCTGAGTATTGCTAAGATCTTTCTCCCATTTTTGTTATCCATATCCACCACCTTTTAATATCAATTTG